ATAAACACAAGTTGTCGGGTTTTAATGAAAACTGTTTGCGCGACAATTTTGCAAAAATCATAACTTATCCATTTCAAATCGGAATCATATGATTCTAAAGCCCAAAAGAAAGCCAACAGAAAATACTACGATTCATATGAAGATCACGGTTTCAAATAACGAGTACTTCATGGTCATTATAGCAGCACAACAGAGCAGTAAAAATCACGATACTCATGCTAATTGTCCACGAATTTCAACATTAAAACCCAATGTCATAAGCCACACATTATATCATATGTGCCACACTTATCGCATATATCAAAGGAAAGCATCATATTCATCGAGTTCGATTATCCATATCAACACCACATCATATAACTCGAACGATTAAACTAATCACATAAAATAACGAGCACAACGCAAGCAACACACAAGATAACACTCTTAGCATACATACTCCTCAGAGTCATCAACATAAATAAAAAAGGGGTTCGATCCTCTAGTACTGTTCTCAGGATTAGTCGCGAGAAAAGGGTCAAACGAGGGTCGAGAAAGGCTACGTGCGCGCGATCACGGCTCGACAGTGGCTCGCGGGCGTCTCTTCTTGCACGCGGGCCTGTGTATGGTTACGGAATGCTGCTCCGGGAGGGTCGTCGGGACTAGTACATGCTGGTGGGATGGAGGCAGCGGTCAAGAATCGCAAGACGAAACGATCGAGGGCCTGAGCAGCGGCTTCAGAGAGGAGCGCAACCGATTACGTCGGGCTTGGTGCAGGGATGGGGCTCTTCTGGTTCACGCCGGGTGGGGTTGGTGTTCACGAAAGAGTTCGAGAGAGATGGAGAACAACAGAGTGATGGGAGCAGGGTGATGGTCACACGATCGTCTTCTTCCTTCCTTTCTTTCTTTTTTTTTTTAATAACGAGAGAGTAAGAGAGCAGCAACGACGATGGTGTTTAAGCGAGAGAGAGAAGATGAGATAGCGGGAGAAATTGAGAGATTGGGATGTCTGGGTGTGCGATATACGTATGAGAAGAGAAAGGGGATTACATGATATATATATATATATATGCTATTAGGTTAAAAATCTCAACTTGCTAAACAAGTAACACCAACAAGAGAGGAAAACGAGCCGGGGCGGGCTATAGGGTGCGGGTCTCGGGTTCAAGAGTCGGGTTCGAACGAACGATATAAATAAATAAAACCGGAACATATAAATATATTAAACATAGAATATTTATTTAATATTAATAGGCATTTAAACAACTAGACATTTAATAATAATAATAATAATAATAATAATAATAATAATAATAATAATAATAATAATAATAATAATAATAATAATAATAATAGTAATAATAATAAACAATTTAGACAATTAGGCAAAAATGACATTTAATATGAATAATTATAATAAAGCGATAATAGATAATCCCAATATTATTCAAAAACGAACGAGGCATTACAGAAGGAGGAGAAACAAGACCTGTGTGAGTAATTTTGTGTGAGTACTATTAAAGGTCATGTGGTTGCATCATCCATAATCAAAATACCAAACAGACATAGAAGAATTGAAATGGATAACCTGTTGAGAATAGCTTCTATGTCTTGTCAGGTGTAAGATGAGTGTTGAGGCTCATTAGTTACTGCCACTGTAATAGAGAAAGTAGCAGTTGAAGAAGACCTACTTGACCCTTGATATGGGGAAGATGAACCTCCAGAGCATTGTGATTTACCTTGACAATTTGGAGCAGTATGGCCCCGAGCATGGCAGATGTGGTACTCTGCTTTAGGACAAATGGCATAAGGGTGCTCAGAGATCTTGCAAATCCTACATTTCCCAGAAATAGATGGTCAAGACTGATGCGACAATGTGGAAACAGAAGTACGAACAACTAATGCAGACTCAAGTTGTGGTGTCTTGTCCAACTGAAAGTGAATCTCCTCAAAAGTGATCTCATGAATAGAAGCATCAAGAGTAGGAAGAGAATGATGGTGTAAGACAAAAGCACGAACATCTTCAAACTCAAGGCGAATCCATCAAAATCTAAATAATATCAAGATTATCTGGATCAATCTCAGTCTGTCGTAGACGATACTGGATAGGTTGTACTTGTGCAAGAAACTCATTGACTTATTGACCTGGTTGTTTCTTAGTGGAATGCAAGGTGCTCCAAAGTTGATAATAGTGAGCGAGGCCTGTAGTATGAAATCGAGCAGCCAGAAAATCCCAAGCCTCCTTCGCACAATCAAATGGAGCAAGTTGCACATAAATAGCAGGGGCTGAAGTGTTGCGTAACCTAGTAAGAATCTGATGGTTCGTACTATCTTAATCCTCGAACTTATCAACTTATTCCGTCAGAGCCTATGGTGTGAGGTTGGTATCCTCAGTGCGAGACAGATACAGTGTGTAATACATCACTAGCCACAATTCCCCACAATTTTTTCCCAATTAAAAAACGTTTCATAGACTGCCCAAAGACTATAATTATTTCTAGATAAGATAACACTAATGATAAAATTCACATCCAAACAATCCATATCCAAAAAACAGATCAACCCAATATCATGAAGTAGATGAAATCAAAGTACGAATGCGATCACGAATTAGTCAAGATATCAACATTGGTAGAAATTTAAAAGGAAATGAAAAAAAAAAAAAAAAAAACTATCGGACGAGAATGTAACCAATGATGACATGAGTCAACGGTGAATGAAGCAAGAGGTGGACCTCACACGCCGGCGAAAAATCACAGCGCCGACCAATTGGCTTGAAATGTTTGTCGACAACTCGCCTGGAGATGCTGGAGAGGATGGCGGGGGTGGTGAGAGTCAGTAATGGTTGGACGAGCGACGAGAACCAAGCCTACGATTCACCCTGACCCTAGTCTGATACCATGAAAAAATATTTGATGTTTATTTACAAAGGTATGTACACATATATATAAATACATAGATGGGCCTTAACCTTAGGTTGGGCCTAAACCTAGCCTACAACAATACACTTTACATAAGTAACATATGTGTGATTGGTGAATACATATGCACCCGCACACGTCTACACCGTAACTCGCCCTTCAACTAACTACAAATAAATAGTTAATGAATCAAAGAAAAATTATATGTTCATGACTACATCTAAGTTGCCACTCTCCTCGATGAAATTTCCCCAAATTTTTTCGTAAGAAACCCTTGCCTTTTTCAGCTTTTCTGTCAGCTCCTTGCAGTCAGCCGCTCCGATCGTTCGTGGAGATGACTGGCCCGTGCATGGCTTTCACCCTTCATTCTTCTGCAGTGGTCGTCTTTAACGGCCCTCGCTTCCTCTCGGCTTGGTTAGCTTTCTTGGTTTCTTCGGGCGGCTCTTAGGCGGTGAGGGCGAGGCGGCGAGTCCTGTCCGTCGGGCTTCCAGTGGGAGGGATTAAGGCTGACGCCAACTCCTCCCTCTAATTTTTGCCCATTTCCTGGGGTTTGGAATTGGGATTTCCTTCGAGCGGGAGCCTTTCGGCTTTGTTCTAGGGCTCTAGTTGAGGTGGTGGGGTGTATGGGTTTGTACTTGGTGGGGCCTTCAGGGTGCAGCTCCGAGTTGGGTCGTTAGTTAGCTTGGAGTGGATCTATGTCAGCCGTCATCTTTTGGTGAAGAGAGTGGCTAGATTTGTGTCCTGGGTTATGGTATCTCTTAGGGGTGTCGTCGTTGGTCTCGACTTGAGGGCACGTCTGTGGGAGCGATTATCGGGGAGGGGGCGGGGGAATATTATGGGTGTTTTATGTGGTTGTTTGGTGTTTATTCTCCCTTTGGGAGTTTCATTCTCCACTTATGAGTATAGTATTATCGTGATGAATATGTTATGGTGTCTATACTGCCCTTTGAATTGTCCTCCCATTAAAATTGGCTACTTGACTTCTTAAATTCAACTAAGTGGTTGATTGACTAATTTTAACTGTTGCCTAGATGTAAATAAGTGTTTTTTTTAATAATACCTATCGTTCCCAAAATAAATAAAATAAAATGATTTTCATCCAAACTATAATTTCTCACAGCATTAATATCATAGAAATGTAATCTGAATAAAACCCCAAAAAGAGCCCGACCATAGAATGCAATTCAACACACTAAATTCAGGAACATCCAAGAAAGTAAAACTCATTTGCTATCCATATTATTTATATTATTTGTAAAATAAAGATAATATCAGTGTGTCATGAAGTAATATTATTAACTACACATTAGCTAAAAAAAATAGTTATGAAAAGAATAATTTTCAAATTGAGTCTTAATCAAACCTAAAAAAGCAAGGGAAAATTAATCACGATAGGAAACCAGAAACAAGTACTAAACAACTATCGGTCCCTGACATTCTCATTCCTGAAGCACAACATTTTGACCAAAATGTCACCAGTAATCCAAAATCACAGTAAATTTTCGTGTTTCCAGGTTGAAATACACTCCAAAACAATCTCTTTCTTAACAGATAATTTCAGAACTTTAATCCCGAATGGTAGTCTGGAGAAACAATAAACTAAAGGGAACAGTCATAGATAACTTTAGTCTTGCAGACCATAAAGCCACTGAAAGTACATTGAGCATTTCAGGTTGTAACATAAATAAAATACATCCGACTCAAAACCAAAATAATTCAACAATCCAGGTTCCAACCATGCAAATCGAAACCCTAGGAAGAAATAAATAGTTCAACAATCCAGGTCCCAACTATGCAAATCGAAACCCTAGGAAGAAATGCAGACGCACGCCGAATGGAAACAATGAAAATGCGAAGCCCCCACCTCACTTTTATCCAGTACAAAAGTTACAGCCCCACCCTTGTATAGTACATAAACCATGGAAGAACACGTGCACAGAAGTGGGAGAAGGGACCATGATAGATAAACAGTCAAATCTAAGAAACGTCGTACACACTTCAAGAATTTCCCGAAATAATTCCTCACCAGATGGCGAAAACCCTTCTCGAGATTCTCGTCCTCCAGACAACATAAAAGGCATATATGAAACAAGAGACACATTATGATGAGTACTCAAACGGCTGTGGGGGTGCAGGTTCTTCATCAACGGCCATAGCCGCGGAAGATCCCTGCTGCCCTGCAGCTGACCCGCCAGCGTTCGATGCAGTTGTCGATGAGGGAGCATCAGTGAGGATTAATTCCTCTGGCTCGTTAGGACGCAAATCTTTCAACAGCACAAATCCCGAGGGAGCTGACTTGACTGGGACGTATCTGCTCTCCTCGAGGAACTTGATGAATTTCTCTTGGGTAGGGACTACCCTGGCGGGGTTGGTCAGAATATCAAATGTCTGCTCAGGTTCGGATTTCTTCTCCGAGGTGGACGTATCAACCTTATAACCGGAAAATACAGAGAGAAGTTAGTTATCTATAGTTCTATATCAACTGACTAGAGAAGCAAATGTGAATCAAAACTATAAATACAAGTTGCAGCAGCTACTTCTGAGGTTGGGAGTAATTACTAGAAAAAAGATCAACTAATTTTGAAAAATGCAAGGGTCGAGTGTGTGTTACTCTGCGCCCCTAGCGTTTTTGTTGACAATTACAAATTTGGCGATGCAATCACCTATTTTTCAGATGGTGCTCAACTTTCTTAATTACATACATGGCTGCCAAAAACTTCCATCTACCTTATTTGTAAAATCTAGAAAAAGTTACATATGTGATCGTATAACAAGAGGCTTGGAATATTTATGAAGTCAAGAGAAGAGGGGGATATGATTGTAAACACGCAAATACCGTCAGCAATTTCCATCGAGTTCCACCAAACATCAGGGGTGTTTCTCCTAGTTTTCTAAGCAAACTGGATTCCTTTTTCTATTGATTGGTGGTTTTTCCATTTATGGGTAATTAGGCCGAATCTCAAGGGTGTATTTGTAACTATCCCTAACAAAAATGAGAGTATCAATCAACACAAGTAATTAATCTAAGACCAACCTGCATGGAGTCGTTGTCCTTGTCGACAGCTTTACCCTTGCCAGAACTAGTCTCGGCCTTGTCCTGTGCCTTTTCAGCCTCTTTCTTACTAACCCTGGCCTTGGCCCTTGCCGAAGTCGATAAAACTGCTGTTGGCAGTTTAACAGCTGATGTAGCAGTAGGCACAACAGTAGGCTTGGGGTATTCAAACAATGAAGGCTTTGCGTGTGATAGGAAGTCAAACTTTGGCACTTTCAGGTCATAGTTCAGACCTACGAACGCGGTTGGTGAAAATGCCAGGCTAATGAAATATATAAGTGGGTACCAGTACCAAAACTGACTGAACACAGCAAGACCAACAACTGCCGTGATCTTATCATGTTTCGTCTTTGAAAGTAACTTGATGGTAACATTCCGTCCCCCAGCGTCCAGAATCCCCGAAGCTAAAATTGCACCCATCTTGCTCATCGTGTCTTCATGCTTGTCAAGAATAATTTTTTCAAGTTGCCGCCTAAGTATAACATGCAAAAAGAGATTAGCTGAAGAAAAAACATGACAAAAGTATCTGTGATTACTTGTCTTTAAATTTTGGTCCACATGAGTGAATAGTGGCAACAGATTTGTGAAAAATCAGACGTTAAAGTAAATAACTCAAGATTGCGAAATGGAGTAGAATCTTCTCAATATGTTAACTGTTAGTGAAGTAATTCTGTAAATCGGGTGCATATGACTGGAATACGAATATGACTGAGTCAAGATTTAGAGATTTAAAAAATGAAAATGGTATTAAATTATCGACAACACCAAGTTTCTTATTGGACTAGAAGGAAGGGGAA